GATTTACCAGCGCTGCAAAACAGAGCGCACTGAGTCTTTCCGAGCGTTTTGTCGATTTTATTGTTCATTAAGCCCCAACCCCCAAATCTCCTTACTTGTTGGAGGCGTCGTTTTGCAGCATCTCGCCTTTGAAGATCACAAAAGGCTGAGGCAATAATTGGGTTTGTGCAATTACAAGTTAATGAGAGAACGAGCAGGGAAGTTTGTCTTGCCCCTATCTCGAAGTTCCCACATTGCAACCGTTAGCCTCGTCTGCTCAGTCTCCGAAGCAGCGAGGAAAAGATGATATCGCGTATAAACAAGTGGTCACTGTTTAGTCAGGAAATCCACAAGTAACAGTTGAGAGGCTGACTAATTATTATGATGAACAGAAAGTTACACAATAGGCAAGGCACATGACTCTCAAGACTGACACACAAGAGGACATTTTATAATATTGAGATTAAGACGTCCTTTATCTGACCCAAAGTTGGGACTTTTTAGTAAGTAAGTAAGTTTTTATTTATATACCGCCTTTTCACTGCAGATCTGAGTCTCAAAGCGGTTTACAATTGTTTATTTTTTGGGCATTTGTCTCTCACTCCACACAGAGATGGGAGCAGGGTCGCCAGTACAGGAGGCGCATGCCAGAACTATTGGACATGTTTTTAGTGGTAGGGGAAACCGGAGTACCCGGAGGAAACCTACGCAGACACGGGGAGAACATGCAAACTCCACTCAGAAAGGCCCTGGTCCGACCGGGATTCGAACCCAGGACCTTCTTGCTGAGAGGCGAGAGTGCTATCCACTCAGCCACCGTGCCGCCCGGTGTTAGTGTTAGTATCACAAGTTACAACAGTAGGAATGAGGAACACACAACACAAGATAAGTGAACAATAAGTGTAGTACAACTATGTTCTTAACTATAGTTGGAAAAAATTAAAATAATATAAAATCTCAATCTTTAGCAACAAGCATGAGATACTGTATACTCTAGTGCAGGAAATATATACTGGTATACTATATAGTGTAAACGTCTGTAGATAAATTTGTAGTACATTCTATTATAATATCCATGAGGTCAAGCAAGCGGCATTGTCCTGCAGAAAACTTAGAAAATGCACATCAGTTTTCAAAATTCTATAAAAAATGTTGTGTTTTGTTTAATTTCTATATATACTTAACACAAAATTGTTATACCATTTGTGTTGAATAGGGAGACAAAAGGAAAACTGTTCCGACTATCACTCCAGGTCATGAGGGGTGGGTCATGATAAAAGTGATCGAAAATGCTGTTGGGTGCCCACTTCTAGAATAGGGTGAGGAGTGTAGTCGCATGAGTGGAGCTCTGAGTATATCTACTGCTCCTCCACATCAAGCAGTGCCAGCTGAGGCACTGCTGGGGGCTCAGGCATCTGTTTCGGATGTCTCCTGGACACCTCCCGGGCCATGTCCCGCATGGGGGACACCCAGTGACCCTCTGGAGCTGGAGGAAGTGCATGTGCAGAGGGGCATCTCTGCCTGGACTGCTACCTCCACGACTCGGTTACAAAAGAATCGGTAGAAAATGAAAGAATAGTTTGTTTGACGGTCTTTTAGCATCATAACTCAAACAGTTATCAGTGAATGTTTGAGACAATTTCAAGGAACCTCAAAATTGTGACATGGAACAGATGATGATATTTTTTGAATGGAATTGATTCATTCCTCTTAGCGGAAGTCTGCGATCTATAATGCTTGTTCTAGTTTGCTGTTGCTTTTATAGAATTTCAAAACTAATAAGCATTATCTGCATATGCCTCTTGATAATGACCTCATTATACACGGCACAATCACACAAACATATTATCATTGATACATAACACTATCATTACCACAAATTAGGCCTTGAGCAAATAACATTATGAGAGTGCTGCCTCAACCTGCAGCTATAGATAGAAGAAGCTCTTTACCCAATAAGACAGTGACGTTATTATATTACTAACCTAAATACGGGTGAATAATGAACATATGCCACTGGGGCAGAAGTAATTGCAAGCTCATGGGTTATATAATGCATAGATGGAAAGGAACAATGGCATGGAATTATTTTTTGCTAAATTTGCATGTGAAAGACATATCCCATCAGACCCTTGAAGCTGTGCAGGGCAGGGTCTGGTTAGTACTGTGATGGGAGACCTTAGGCAAGACACTTCAACCACTCTGCCTACAGTAAGTCTGGTGTGTGTGTGAATGGTTGGTGGTGGTCAGAGGGTCCGTCGGCACATACTGGTTGCCTCGCTTCTGTCAGTTAAGCCCCAGGGCAGCTGTGGCTACTGTAGTAGTTTATCACCGCTGTGTATGGAGTGAAAGAATAATGACATGTAAAGCGTTTTTGAGTGTGTTGAAAAGTGCCAATGCATTATTATTATTATTACTATTTGATTTATTATTTTTTGCAACAGTGTCAGAATACCAACAATTGGAAACTATATTATTTAATGATATGTAAATGTGGCAAAAGGTTACAAGAGTATTCTCTGAGCCACTGGCTTCCTGTGGCTCAGAGAATAGACTTTAAAACAGCTCTGCTTGTGTACAAGTCTCTCCATGGTCTTGCACCAAAATATATTAGTGACATGTTAGTGCCATATGAGCCAGCCCGGACTCTGAGGAGCACAGGGACTGGACTCCTGTTAGTGCCCAGAGTCAGGACTAAACATGGGGAGGCTGCTTTTCAGATTCATGCTGCTACAATCTGGAACAATCTTCCTGAAGATGTGAGACAGGCCTCCTCTCTGACAATGTTTAAAACCAGGTTAAAAACAGTTCTGTTTAGCTGTGCATACAACTGAGGGATTTATATTTTTATCTTCCTTTTTAATGTTCTGTGATTATTTATGATTTTAATGCTTTCTTGTTTTGTTCTGCACTTTGAGTTGCCTTGTGTATGAATTGTGCTATACAAATAAACTTGCCTTGCCTTGCCTTGCCTATACTTGTTGACACTGATGACTATGTAATTGTGTTGCTCTGTTGATGTTGGTGAGCAGCTTAGTGATACAATAATAACTGTTTATGGGTATTGTGCCAAGTAACAAAGCACTGAGCAATTTACACCTTCCTCTGGCACTTCTTGTAATTACTGCGTTTCCATGTTCTCTTTTTATAATTATATATTGCCTATAGTTGCGCAAGACAGCTGAACCTCCAAACACAAAAGCCGGAATGACGGTACCGGTGGTGTGAAAGACGCAGATGGCTGTACAGATGTGCTTGAATTAATGAAAACATCTGGAAGAAAAACATGTGTAGAAGAGTGTGTTACACCTGTATCTGTGAGAGCCTTTCGTCGCGGTGAGGAAAGTGTGCATCCTGCTCTTTGCCAATGTCCTTTCAGATCCGATCACATGAGAAATGCAGCCGCTTTAATTAAACCATTCTGGTGGAAGGGTCCCATTTGCTTGCTTTAATTCAAACAGGTGATTATGAAGCTCAAAAACACAGGCGCACTGTACATGAAACACAATTTACATGACCACCTGCTTAGCTACACAACTGAAACTGATTCTCTAAATAAATCACCCATAGTTATCACCATTAGTTAGTTCAGTTTTAGAAAATGTCCAAATAGTTCAAATTGGGGAAGTTGAGGCACTGGATTTTGATTGTTCCATAAACGTGTGTGTGCGTGTGTGTGTGCGTGTGCGTGTGTGTATGTGTGTGTGTATGTGTGTGTGTGGTGTTTAAAAGTTGATACCCCCATATTTAAGCATATATATGCTTTTGAGCCTCTGTGAATCTGTTCAAGAGTGAAAAAACTATTCTGCAAAAGCTGTTGTAAATTAATTGGATTTGATTCTAAACTATTATTTGTTTTATATAATAGTGACTCACTTATTTGTGTTTATTTGTTTTAGTTTAAGATGACTTCCACAACCTAATGTTATGGGACCTGTGCTCCTCTGATAAATTATTAGCATGCACGTTTTCTTATGCACTAAATTAAAGTAATTCCAGTTGTTGGCTAGCAGAGGTCAGGTTTGGTTGAAAGACATTCCTCCAGCTCCAAACAGTCACCAAGGGCCCCAGATGCACTCCAGTATACACAACTATAGAGCTTTATTTATTCATCGAGTAATTTATTGTGTTGAGTTTCATAAATCCTAATGTGACCTTTCAATTTCAGAGATGATTTTCTAAAAATGCCTCCTTTATGTAACACAATTAAACATTTAAGGTAAACTGTAAAAGAGTGCAACATGAATAAAATGATGTCTCTCGTGAAAAAGGTTACATCTGTGGGTCTCGTGAGGAGGTGTAGTGTCTTTGGATCTGGACAGCAACATAATCCCTCGACTTTCTCTCAACCCAGGATTAAGTGGCTATAAATATGTCCCTGCAGTCCTCACATGTGTGTGGCCTTTTGACCACATACATACTGTAGATGAGGTATATCGATATTATAATTTTTGTATCTTTTTATTATATGCATAAGATATTACATTTATTTATTTATTTATTTTTATTTTATTTTTATTGAGACAAAACAAATATTATGACCCTACATCCATTTTGAATTTACATTGAATCTGTAAATATATAGATAAAAATGTATTTCAAAAAATGCCACACACAATACTTAGTAATTTTGCATATAGTATATGTTCAATTTTGACCATTTAAGTGGTAAATGTAACTGGTTGAAATAAACAAACAGACATAGTAAATGTACAAAACGTGAATGAGTGATGTTCAGTCTGAAGTCAGAAGTGAGAACCTGGAGTGGCTCTGCACATGTACATCTTAATCTGTGTTGAGCTGTTGTCCACAGTAAAGCAAAGCCCTGAGACTTAAAGATCCTCTCACAGGTGCACTGCAGTGGACAGTGGCTGTGACGGTGCACAGCATGTCTTCAATTGGAAAGGAGAAATCTCAGATGCCTTGAAGAGACTGGATGAAATTCAAACAAGAGCACAGCGTTGTGTGGTGCTGCTATGACAACATGAAGACCAGGGCCGTCTGTATGTGTCACAGTGGAGATGTATGAACAAGGAGGGAAAAGAATCATGAAGACATTTCAGGATAAGCCACTGTTGAGGGTAAGAGATGCAATTTACGTCAGAGTGTAGTTTTTTGTATGCACAACAAACAAATGGGTGTATGACCAATGACCAAATATACTGCACATTAACCCCTGTTTCCCCCTTTACACTCCAGAACATGGCAATATTCTAAATGGGTTATAAATTATGTCATTAAAGTTAAAGTCCCATAGACTAATTCAAGTCAATATTGGGTTTTGTGCATGAGTTTTTAGGCTATTTTTTCTTATTGTTTTTCCCCTGGATCTGTGAGTGTTGATCTGATTGTTTATATTTTGAGATGTAAGATGTTAATTTGATTATATTTCATTTATCTGTACTCTTTAATCAAAAATAAAGATACATGTGTTAATATCTAAAATAATCGTGACAATTTAAAATAAAAGACAAAATATGAAAATAGAAAACTGCTGAATCGGTCAGCATGAGTATCATACATTATGATACAAAGAACGCATTATTATTTTAAAACCAAATGGCAGTAAACGTTTGAAAACCTTCGTGTATTGTAGTTGTGGCCGACGTGCTGCAATGTTCCTTGTATTTCGCTAGATGGCGGTGTAGACCCGCTCGTGAGCTTTTAACCCTTTCAGCGCCAGCCCGCGTGTACCTGTGCGTTTTGGATCACAGCTGCTGACTTTTATCACTACGCTTTTTTTGAGGTAACTAAACACCAAAACCAAGAATGCATTTAGCAGGGAAAACAACAACACACGCGAATATTAGATGATTTATTGTCAATCATAAGTAATCAGGCTAATGGCTAATAGCTCCTGTCTTCACGTGTGGCAGGCGCAGGTGTGTTGCCATGTCCTTAAACAAGTCCTCTCTCAATACATATCTTTTTAATATGATTTTTGAATATTGCCACTTTTGTGCATATGTCCTGTCCTGTTTGCACATTTCTTACTTTTTGCACAATCTTGAGTGTTTCTATCCATGCCAAAAGTGACATGTACATTTCTCCTGTGTGAGATTAATAAAGTACATCTTATCTTGAATTGTGTTTTATGAGGACACCTGAAATTGTGTGGTATTCCAGCTTCCTGTAACTGTAAATAACTACAAGCTTTATATGTACTAAATGGACGTCTAATTATATCGATCCCATAGGGTTTCGTACTCGAAAACCACATTTGGACATACTTTCCATTTCATTCACTTCTTACATTTTGATACTAACTTTCTAAATTGAAGAAGAAAGTACATATATTTGGGTTTAGAAGTAAGGGTTTAGAAAAATATGCTGTTAGAAAAGTTCAGGAAAAATGCATTGAAAAGTATTGACACTGCAAGGAGGCAAGTAACACATGAGTATCTTGTTCCAATGGTAGTATATTTTAAGTTTTTCATTACTACTACAGCACTAATTCCATAACATTAAAATCAAATCCGTCCATCTTGTTCTTCTCTCAAAACAGTTTGGTTCTGTTGCACTAGTTCTCTCATGTATCTTTTTTTGTCCTCTGCCAAATCAGTTTGTTCAGATATAAAAGAGAAAAAGAGAACCCCTCTATCTGAGCTAATGCATCAAATATGCTTTACAATACTTAGTATGTATATGATTTTAATTTTAATTTAACATGTGTGCAAATATTGGAATAAGCAGGTAAAGGAACAAGGTTAACGGATACTACGTTTAAAGTGCAATCATTTTAACTGAAACAAAACCATGTTGTTATTGGCTGTGCATAGTTTTTTATGTAATACCGAATAATTTCTTCTGCCTCTGTCCTCCCCTAGAACTTGCCCTCCATCTTGAGGAAGTCATCATTTGCCCCCATCATTCTGCACCATGGAGTACTGCACTCCCCAGCCCATCCGACGTCACAACCCTGTAGATAGTATTTGCAAGAAACTGCAGACCATCCAGCGGTGTGGAGAACGGGAGCCCCACTCTCCCTTTCAGATCCCCAAACTGTCCTCCAACAGCTACGACAGCCCCCAGTGTGGTCTACGGAGCAACTTTGAGGCTCTGCTCAAGAGGGGGGCACTGTACAAAGAAGGGATAGATTGGGAGAAGGACAAGGCTATGGGGATGCCCAGCTCTGCAGCCTCCAAGACGACCAGCATGGGCCCACCCACTCCTTCTCCTTTTGGAAAACCTCCACTGTCCAATGTGACTTACTCTATAACTAGTACTCTTGGAGAGCGGAAAGGAGCGGAGGGAAGTGACTTAAAGCACGTGAAAACGTGGCAACGGCATTGTTCGACACCCACAAGTAACACAAATGACTCTCCATACTTTACATTCACAAGAGGGCCCCAGTCTGTGCTGCAGGACAGCGAAGGGCCCGCCAGGAGCCCGACCATGTCCCGCACCTTCATCCCATTCCACACAACCACGTCTTATAAGCTGAACTTCACCACGGCCGACACAGCAAATGGCCCTGAGAGCGAGGTGCCGTACCCAGCACTGGTGGTCAAGAGGTTGTCTATGGGAGATGCAGGTAAGAATGTCTTGCTCTACTTCTCTGTGGATGTACTGATGAGGGACTAAACTATTTCGATCTTTTGGAAACAAAACCGATGCCGTTTATTTGAGAGTCCCGCCCGCCAAAATTATTATAAATATATAAAATAGATAGATGTGTAATATATTAGATATAGATATATGACATATATAAATTCTGTTCTTTGATTTGAGGATTATTCGAATAATCAATCAATCTAGGAATCATGCCCCATTGGAACAATTACCAGCTCTCGTAATCTGAGCTGAGCATCAATATCTAGAAATGGGTCCCAGTGCTGCACTGAATCTACCACTTTTCATGAAGTTGTCTTGGTGGCTTTGAAGGATTGATCAAATGCGTAGGATAATTTTCCTTATGGGGACAACAAAGTCCTATATTAGAGATTTTTGTTTTGTTTTACTGTGTTTGTCTTTAGCACTTTGGGCTTTTAATGTTTTATTTTCTTTTAATATAGATTTATTTCTCCTGTTTTGTAATGCATGCAAAAGCACACAAACAGACTAAAAAAAAATTATTTGTTTTGTAGATACAAACAATTGTATTCTTCTGATTATGCAGAAATTAGGTGATTTATTGTTTTGCCACAAGGTAATGTTACAGTGCGCATAGGGCAAAAGGTAAACAAAAGCCAACATACTTGATTATAATTTTTCTTCTTATACTTGTTAGTGGTTTTTATTCTAAAATCTTCAAGTCATATAGACTATATCCCTGTCTCAAATTGCTGATGTATGTTTATTGCTCTGTAGGTTGTGACACTTCTCGCCTCTTCAACACATAATGTGTTGTTTCCCTACATCCATAAATCGACTCATCCTATTTCTATCCTTTCCCTCCCCTGTGAACACTTTGTGTTGAACAAATAACACAAAGATGCGTTGTAGAAAATGATAGCTTTTAACATTGACGTTTCAAGATTTTCCTGTGGCTGATGGTCATGTGTCATGTGCTGCTGCTCCTTACATAACAATTACTGTTTGATGCGTTTTTAGGATCGTCCACAGCAGACTCCAATAGAGGCGCAATGGCAGAAATCAGCCTCATCTGTGAAGAGAACCTGCTCGATACCATTTTCCATGCTTGCGACACCCAGCACAGAGGTACCCATGACAACTTACTTTATAAACATTTATACTTCAGTCACATGTGGTCCTTCGGCTGATCATGGGAAGCGGAGATTAACCGCTTGTGTTGTTCCTGTGTGGATGGTTTCTCTTGCCTGTGGCAGTGGATGCACAAAGAGCCATGTGAGCATGTGGGAGCTCAAAGAGCGCTTCGCAAAGACACGGTAATGTCTTTGTTTGCCTTTTAATTTGCTGCTGTTTAAGGATATGCAAGTTGGGTGAGTAATTGTATTTCTTGTGGTGTATATGTGGCAGAAATTATGTGTAGCGTATAAAGCAGGCAAGTCCAAACCTCTGTAATTGTATAAGGCCCTCTACCTTGCTAACCCAAAGTAACCACAAACACAACTTCAGCTTTGCTAACATGGACTTATCATACTTTGTTGTAAATGATCTCTGGGATGCAGTCGTGGTCTTTGTTTGACTGTACTGACATTTGTTTTTGGTTTTGGTTTTACGGAGCTGATGTAACTAATGAGTAACATTGGTCACTCAGCCAACTTCACCTCAGTCAAATATGAACCAAGGATGTACAAAGCACTTGCATGTTATTATTCAGTCAGTCCATACTGTTGTAGCCACAGCTGCCCTGGGGCACTCTGACAGAAGTGAGGCCACCAGTATGTGCCGTTGACCCCTCTGACCACCACCAACCATTCACACACACCAGACTCATTCTAGGTCATTTAAGTGTGTCTTCAAGACTAAGCACAACAACAGCAGCTGTCCCACTGTCACACCTGGTGTTCCCAGAGGTCTCCCATCACAGGATCTGACTTTCACGTAAAGGAACGGCCACAATGTTAAACCTCAGAAGCCAAAAATCCAAAACGACTAACTTACTTAAAAGTTTTTGTTGGTATAGAGCAAAGACTTCTTTTATACTAAATGTTTGAATGACCTCCAAGGACATCCCATTATTTTTACATTAAATACAAAAGACACACCAAATCTAATGTATTTGATGCGTCTTCTGTATTTGCATAACTGTGCAAATGCACTTTCGATCTGTATATATCTTTTTTATTTGCTTTTAACTGGAATTGAGAGCCCTGCACAGAAATGTCTGTGTCTGAACCATGTTTTTGAACAGATGAATCTCAATCTGCCAATAAAAATTTCAACCTTTTTTCAACCTATATAACTATAACTGCAGGTAACTTAATAAAAACTTCAACATTCTAGAGCCCTGGGATTTTTTAAGTTTTTCTGTGTCATCCATTTTTACAATTCTGTAATATGCATTGCAATATTGACATTTATATAGATTAAAAGACAGATGATCTTGAATGTCATTCAGAGACCCTTATGTGTATCAATTAAATATTTGGAAGTCAATTGTGCACTAATTAATACAAAGACCAGCATCAAGAGCAGACTAATCTTACACTCAGGGACTGACAATACAAAGAAATGACATGAACAGGACCAGACCAGAGTTTCAAAAATGTAATAGAATGTGAAAAATAAAAATAAAAACGAATGGTGATGATGATGCAAACTCGCTTTTGTAAATATGTGTAGCTATAATTAGGCACTGTACACCCACAGATAATACATTAGTATATACAGTGCCTTGCGAAAGTATTAACCTTTCAACATTTCAGGCTTCAAACATAAAGATATAAAATTTTAATTTTTTGTCATGAATCAACAAGTGGGACACAATCGTGAAGTGGGACGAAATTTATTGGATAATTTAAAAAATTTTAACAAATAAAAAACTGAAAAGTGGGGCGTGCAATATTATTCGGCCCTTTACTTTCAGTGCAGCAAACTCAGTCCAGAAGTTCAGTGAGGATCTTTGAATGATCCAATGTTGTCCTAAATGACTGATGATGATAAATAGAATGCACCTGTGTGTAATCAAGTCTCCGTATAAATGCACCTGCTCTTTGATAGTCTCAGGGTTCTGTTTAAAGCGCAGAGAGAACCATGAAGACAAAGGAACACACCAGGCAGGTCCGAGATACTGTTGTGGAAGCCGGATTTGGATACAAAAAGATTTCCCAAGCTTTAAACATCTCAAGGAGCACTGTGCAAGCAATTATATTGAAATGGAAGGAGTATCAGACCACTGCAAATCTACCAAGACCCGGCCGGCCGTCCAAACTTTCATCTCAAACAAGGAGAAGACTGATCAGAGATGCAGTCAAGAGGCCCATGATCACTCTGGATGAACTGCAGATAACTACAGCTGAGGTGGGAGAGTCTGTCCATAGGACAACAATCAGTCGTGCACTGCACAAATCTGGCCTTTATGGAAGAGTGGCAAGAAGAAAACCATTTCTCAAAGATATCCATAAAAAGTCTCGTTTAAAGTTTGCCACAAGCCACCTGGGAGATAACCTGGCAAGAGCCAGATTGATGATTGTGTAGAACTCTAACGCGTTCTCCACGATATCAATCTGGGATTTCTCCCGGAGAATCCTTTCGGGGAAAGGAGGGATAAGCAGCAGAATACTTCAAGCTGATTGGGCGAAGTGACGCTGTGTGCCCGCCTACCAAGGTTGCCGTCCAGAAATGCACAAAGCGCCTCTCGCTGTTCATCTTTCAAAAAAGAAATTGGAGATTCTGCTAAAACTGACTTGATAGCCTCAGCTACGCGTCCGTCCTCCTGCGTAGCCATGTTTGTTTTGCTTCGGCCCGGCACTTCTTGCTTTCGTCAAACCCGGATATCCCGCCCTAAACCCCCAGACTGGCGCGTGATTGGCTCGCACACCCAGTGGTTCGACTCAAAGTGTAAGCGGGAGCGGTACAAGATGTATTCTCGAGTGTTTGTGAACTCACAAATACCGCGAGAATTCAGCTTGCAGGCAAGGTTACCTGGGAGACACACCAAACATGTGGAAGAAGATGCTCTGGTCAGATGAAACCAAAACTTTTTGGCCACAATGCAAAACGATATGTTTGGCGTAAAAGCAACACAGCTCATCACCATGAACACACCATCCCCACTGTCAAACATGGTGGTGGCAGCATCATGGTTTGGGCCTGCTTTTCTTCAGCAGGGACAGGGAAGATGGCTAAAATTGATGGGAAGATGGATGGAGCCAAATACGGGACCATTCTGGAAGAAAACCTGTTGGAGTCTGCAAAAGACCTGAGACTGGGACAGAGATTTATCTTCCAACAGGACAATGATCCAAAACATAAAGCCAAATCTACAATGGAATGGTTCACAAATAGACGTATCCAGGTGTTAGAATGGCCAAGTCAAAGTCCAGACCTGAATCCAATTGAGAATCTGTGGAAAGAGCTGAAGACTGCTGTTCACAAACGCTCTCCATCCAACCTCACTGAGCTCGAGCTGTTTTGCAAGGAAGAATGGGCAAGAATTCCAGTCTCTCGATGTGCAAAACTGAGACATACCCCAAGCGACTTGCAGCTGTAATTGCAGCAAAAGATGGCGCTACAAAGTATTAGCGCAAGGGGGCCGAATAATATTGCACGCCCCACTTTTCAGTTTATTTGTTAAAGTTTAAATCATCCAATAAATTTTGTTCCACGTCACGATTGTGTCCCACTTGTTGTTGATTCTTGACAAAAAAAATATGTTTATCTTTATGTTTGAATCCTGAAATGTGGCGAAATGTTGAAAGGTTCAAGGGGGCCGAATACTTTCGCAAGGCACTGTATCTGGTTGTCACTCTAGTACACCAACAGGAGGTGAAAATCTGTTCAATATGTTTTAAAGGTGAACTCTTTGCTTTCTGTTTGTGCTTGTTTTGTCAGGTAAAGTGTATGTGTCCCATATCGTGGACTACCTGCGCCACACGACAAGCCGCTCCTCAGAGGACAGCGGGTTGGAGGACTTGTGCAACATGCTGGACCCCGAGCACAAAGACGTGTCCATCGACCTGGACACCTACCACGCCGTCATGAGGGAGTGGATCGATGACTGCCGCAACAACGGGTAAAGGCAACCCTCTCATCCATTTTTACATGGAGGCAAACAGCCGGCAGATGCCCAATCAGACAGTTGTACTGCAATACATTATGTCAGCTTTGTTAATGTGTAGCTTTATTACTGTATTCCAACACACTTTAAATTATCAGCGCCAACAAGCATTGATCCTTTATGCATTGTATTTTTCAACTGTGAATGAATTACTGAGTGCTTGATTAGGGCTATAAGACTTGCCCTTAAAGCTGCACTAACTGACTTTGGGATTTTGAAGCCGCGGACTCGCTGGCCTCTCGCTGGCCTCTCGCTGGCCTCGCTCTTTCTGCTCCCCTCCAGAGTCCCCGCACCCACGAAACTATCGCGTCTCCCAATATGGATAATACATGGACATGGATTTGCACGTGGATGGCGTGACCATAGAACGATAGAACCGGGAAGCGCGGAGGAACGAGACTTTCTTTTGGATGGCTGTCTCGCTGTGTAAGCAGTAACCGGTGACGAAGACGAGGAAGTTTCAGGTTAGCTCCGCTGCTTGTTGTGCTAACTCAGCTGCCTGTGCTAACAGGGACCTGTAGATTTCTCATGAAAGTGGGGGCTAGTGGTCCGCTGTGATTGGTCACAATCTGCGACCCGAAACGCATTCTCTTCCTTGTTTCATCAAAACTTGAACTAAAATATAATGTCACGCCAGCACAAATCTGCGCTACTTTTCTTCAAAAGGACGTATATCCCAGTGCACTGCTTGGATATGGATAACATTTTAGTAATGAATACGAAATAAAGTCAGTCAGTGCAGCTTTAATATGTGTTTACAAATAAAGGCTCTAAAATGTACAATCATATTGGATCTTTCCTCAATAGTTTAAAGTGGACTTATTAAGAATACAATGGATGTTTTGGAGATTGTGAATGTTCATTATATTTCTGCGAGTTGCCAGCTAAATTTGGACTAGCTAAATGTCCCCCCAGTAAATTCACCAAAAAAGAAAATATCACCACTCATTTCCAACCATCCATCCATTTTCTTCTCCTCAATCCATTTGTGGGTTGGGGGGTCAGAGCTGCACCCAGTACAAAGAGCACCAGCCCCTCACTGATCCTCCTGCAGGTGGTGAGTCCACAGGAGCCTTGATCTTTCAGCAGGGGCTTTGGGTAAAGTGGGGTGAAGTGTCTTGCCCAAGGACACAACGGCAACAGACATTAGTGGGAGTCGGGAAGTAGGTCTTATGGTGGGCTCGAACCCACGACCTTCAGGCCTAAAGGCCAATACTCTACCAACTAAGCCACTCTCGCCCCTTTGTTGTTTGTTTGTTAAATGAAAGCATATACAAAAATAAGTAGTCATAGGTAACACGCAGTTTGAACTATTTCGAGGTAAACTCCAGCTGGTGGATTCCAGCAGTAATCTTGCAGCAGTAATACTTAGAAGCTACATGTGTCAAAGGCAGGAAGAATCTGGAAACAAAAGTTGGCTTGTTATTGTAATGAGTTTATTAGATCACAAAGGGCATATTACATACAGTCCCTGTTGAGATATTGCCATTTTTATATTTTGTGCAGGGAAGAGACAGGCAAAGAGGTCACTCAAGACTCTGTCAAAATGAGAGATGGCATATCAGGTAATTTCTCTTGTGTTATTAATTTGTTTTTTTATCACAACTTTCTAACCTTCTAATTTCACTTAAGCGAGAAGATCCATGCTGCTCAATATGACGTCTGGAAGCTTGGAGGCTTTTGGAGGGGAGGCTTCCAGGGTTGATTTGTAAGTAACATTCTGCTATAACAGGAGTATTCAACTTTTAGAACTGTATTTTTCATATTTTCACTTCAATACCTTTTTGGGGGGGATTGATGGGCTCAGAACATCCATATTGGTACCACAACTAATCCATACACTGCTGCTACAAGTAGACCAGGATGAATCCTAAAGGAAAACACATTTGGAAGATGGTCTGTGCAAAATGTTTTTTTGTCCCTCATCCACTCTTGGCTAATATGCTACAATAATGAGGCAAGGCAAGTTTATTTGTAGTGCACAATTCATACACAAGGCAACTCAAAGTGCTGAACAAAACAGGATACCACAAAAATAATCACAGTAAATTAAAAAGAAAGATACAAATATAAAATCCCTCAGTTGTATGCACAGCTAAACAGAACAGTTTTTAATCTTGTTTTAAACATTGTCAGAGAGAAGGCCTGTCTCACATCCTCAGAAAGATTGTTCCAGATTTTAGCAGCATGAATATGAAAAGCAGCCTCCCCATGTTTAGTTCTGACTCTGGGCACTAACAAGAGCCCGTCCCTGTGCTCCTCAGAGTCCGGGCCGGTTCATATGGGACTCGCATGTCACTAATGTTTTTTGGTGCGCGGCCATGGAGAGACTTGTACACAAGCAGAGCTGTTTTAAAGTCTATTCTCTGAGCCACAGGAAGCCAGTGCAGGACTGGACTAATGTGTTCCTGGTTTTAGTCAGGACTCGAGCTGCTGCATTTTGAATGTACTGCAGCTGTTTTACAGCCTGTTTGGACAGACCTGTGAGCAGGCCATTGCAGTAGTCTAACCTACTGGAGACAAATGCATGGATAAGAATCTCCAAGTCTGCTTTAGACACTATGTTTTTTTTTATCCTGGCAATGTTTTTTAAATGGTAAAAAGCGGCTGATGTTAATGATTTGATGTGGCTATTAAAATGGAAGTGTGGAGTCAGTATTACCCCTAGTTTTCTGACCTTGTTTGAAGGTTTTAGAGAGAGAGACTGTAGGTGACAGATGACGCTCTCTTTGTTTCTGAGGACCAAAAACAATCATTTCAGTTTTGTCTGCGTTTAGCTGAAGGAAGTTGTTTTGCATCCACTCACTGATCTGTTGGATACAGTGAAGGAGTGAGTTCACTGGTCCATGTTCTCCTGCAGTCAGTGAGACATAGATCTGAGTGTCGTCTGCATAGTTATGATAGGAAACTTCGTTTCTGCGTATTAACTGACCTAACGGCAGCATGTAGAGATTGAACAGAAGAGGTCCCAGGATCGACCCCTGTGGTACTCCACAGGTTAGGGCCATATGATCTGAGACACAGTTTCCAATCTCCACAAAGTACTTCCTGTCTTCAAGGTAAGACCTAAACCAACTTAGGGCGGTGCCAGCGACACCAACCCAGTCCTCTAGTCTCTGTAAGAGAATCTCATGGTCGACAGTGTCAAAGGCAGCACTTAGATCTAACAAGATTAAGATTGAGACTTGGCCTGCGTCAGTGTTCAGCCGGATATCGTTTGACTGTTTGCCGGACTGAAACATGTCAAATGAGTTGTTGATTATAAGAAATCTAGTAAGCTGTTGGTGGACAACTTTTTCAAGGACTTTCCCCATAAATGGCAGATTTGAGATGGGACAATAGTTAAGTACCGTATAATAAGATTGTATCCTGTTGTTTTTATATTTACTCTCTTTCTCAGTGAGACGTCAGAGCTGGTGTACTGTGTTACCGATCTCCAACTGAATAACCACAAATTGCGAGAGGAGGTGAAAAAGCTGAAGCAGGGGGTGGAGATCATGGAGGAAACTAACCAAAAATTGGTTGAAGAAAATGAAGAACTGAGAAATCAGACAAAGATGTAAGCATTTATTTTTGTCTTGACGTAAAATTGCCATTGAAGAAGTATTTAATTAGTCCTGCTTTAATCTGTAGGAACCAGCAGCTGGCTCAGAAGGAGAAGATGTTGAAAGATGAGGTGGAGGAGATGAAGGCTACACTCTGTAACACAGAGGAAGGCCGAGCTCGGGCCTCTGCTCACGGCAAGAACATGGTTGGTCCACACACAAATCTAGACTCTGTAAACCAGGGGTGCACAATGCTTCCATCGCGAGGCAGGGTGGGCCGTGGCTGACGCACATCAGTAGAAAAGCAGATCAAATCCCGTCTTCAACACATTTTGACAGCGCATCTGCAAAATAAATGGCAGAAAGCCCCCCAGAGCGTGTGGATGGAGAAACACTATACAAGAACATTACTTTACTTAAATGTTTTTTTATTTTTTCCGGGTAATGAAATGTGATTCATAATCTATTAATGACCATAATGTTTTTAGTCACATCTGCATCAATAATCAGACCAGATTAACCCATTCCCACATACTGTAAATCCAATGTAGATCACGGGTCAGTGTGGGCACCCCTGCTCTAAACAATATGCATAATAAGCCAAACCAAAATGTTAAAGACCATTTAATTATGAGCTGCACCATAGTTGTTTACAAAAGGATAAACCTGTCAGTTATGGACAAATGGATATTAGTTAGAATAGATATTTGTCCATGTACATTGTGCCCATTGCGTTCCTATTTCATACTTGTTGGTTGAACTGTGACAAAGAAGTTACATTTCTGAAAACTGCACGGTTAAGATCATAACAGTAAGGGAATTATACCTTCTTCATATTCTACAAGGTTCTAGGTTGTGTTTTTTTGTTCTAGGAAAAGGAGAACCAGAGCCTTATTGCAAAAATTGCTGCACTGCAGGAAGAGGTACAACTTGAATCACTTAAGATACTTAAGTACTTTTAAGGTTAATCTTTTTCATCTGTGGAAGATGTTTTGACATGACATGATTACATGTAGTCTTTTCTGGTTCATATTTCTCAACAAAATGTGTTCAGTAAAGGTTTGTTTGGATTGAGCAAAAATTGAACCAAAGGGAAAATATAGGATTGGGTTGCTCTCTTGTTCTAGAATTCAATTTCAGTTGAACGGCAGGTGTCAATATAACTCTAGCAATTCTCAATGAATTGCTTCCCCAGATCCTTGTTTGATAGTGATTTAGATTCACAAACCTGCCATATCATTCTTATGTGTGAAAGTTCTTTCTACCGGCAAACATGCTTATCACCCCTAGACTTTTTTATAAGAAAATAATTGGACTATAGTTGATGTATTGAAAAATACATGCGTATGTACTGCATGTACTGCTCTCTCATCAGAACTTTAAGGTCACTATGGAAACGGACAACCTTCAGAGGCGGATCTCTGGTCTGTGTGACATAAACGCTGACCTTCAGGTACCTACTCTGCCTCAAACGTGCTTTATTCGGTCTCTTCTGCCCACAAATCTGAATGTTCTTACAATATCTCGTCTTATGTTATGTCTGCTTTCCTAGGTGCAGATTCATTCCTTTGATGGAGTCTTGAGTGAAAAGGATGCAGAGTTACAGGAGGTCAGGGGCAGTTTTTGTGAATGTTTGTTCTGCTTCTGCCAGCGTCAGTTCTTCTGGGTGTATATTTTATCCTTATGCGCATTGCAGCTTCATATTTTTGATGTTGTGTTTGAATGTCCTTATTTTTCATTCAATTACAAAATACAGTAAAAACCTCTGGCAAAAAACAGTTTACCCTTGAGACTATTAATGTTTTTTAACTTTCAATCAATTATACCTTTGAAAGATTAGCATACTGTACTTATTGCTAAAAGACTGTATACATGTTTGTTGTACAAAACTGATACAAGAATATAACATTTATTTTTCAGAGCATGAGACAGATTAAGGACTTGAAGGCTACAATAGAAGAGTACTCATCCATTACAGAGGTGAGTTTTTAGCTTTAGGAAACATCAGGGGTGCTGGAATGGTTACATCAGGAGTGTCCGAGTGATGAGGTAATCGCGTGGGAAGCCAGTCACCTGTTGTGTTCTGTGAGGTAACACTTTGACTTCTGCAGACTTAAAAGGCTTCTGTTTATTTGGCACAGAGTATGGGTTATTGTTATAATGATGCATTTGCACTGTTTTGCACGTATATAACATAAACTGAGTGAATATTATTTACTTGTATTTCACTCTTTTGTGTTGTTTCAGCTTTTAAGAGCAGACAAGAGCAAACTGGAGACTCAAATGCAGATGGTGCATCCAGATTTGGTTGGGTATGTGAAAGGATGTGTTTTGTTCATTTTAACTTGCAAGATTGTTGTCCTATCAACATGTCTTAACCTTTTTTTTTTTATCCTTAGGGGCCTTTCCTTGTCGGTCGCCTACAGGTTAAATCAGAGCTTGACTGGATCATTGCAGTCTGAGTTGGCTTTAGCCCAGTCACACCTGGAGGTCTGTTCTATGGGTGTTCACTTATATTCACACTGGTGCTTTACAGTTTCCTTATGTTGTCTGTTGTTGTGATGCAGCCTTTTGCAGGCGCTGACCCTCACATCACAGTGCTTGATGAGACTCTTGACAAAGAGGTGCTGTTGATGATGCAAGGGCCCAGTCCAGAGCACATGTCCCAGGAGTTTAAGAGAATCCTCAACAAACTGGTCTGTTGCCTCATGCCATTGATATCTTTTTCATATTTTGTTCTTTTTTTCTTCTATTTGTCATTTACTTTTTAGAAAAGTAATGTAAGAGAAGAAGGATGTTCTATCATGTGTTTGGTCCAGGAGTTGCTGGATAACCGCAAAAAACTGGGATTCAGCACAGATGAGTCTTTACAGGTGAAAAACTTTTTCAGTGAATGTAAACAGGTTTAATTTCCGAACAACTTTTGAATGCTAGGCACAAGGTAGAGTCTTGAAACTGTATGAGGTAGAGGTCTACTAAACTCAATAACAGAAATAAAGAAAAAATGTGATGGATAAAACAATTTGGTGCTCATGCAAGATAAGAAAGAGGACTAAAAACAGAACTGGAATAAAACCCTTCAGACCTTTTGTTGTAGATTGTTTTAAAACGTTTTGCAAATATAAAGATATGCCCTTGAAAAATACAAGTGGAAATTCTGCCTCTCTTTTTATGTAACGCTTGTTTCATAGCACCTGTTGCCTTCTCTCCCTCCGCATAGCTCTGCTAAAGCACTGCCTATCTGCTTTTTCTCTGTATTTTCCCACCCACATTTTCATTTTTCTGTAGAGATTTCTCACTTGCATAACTCCACCAGGCCCCATCCACCCAGTCTGTAGCCAGTGTGTTCTACTCTCCTCCTCCTTCGGCACTTTGATTTTCTCTCTCTCTCTCTGTGCTTCCCCTCCCGTCTCATTGTGGCTTCTGTGTGCATTCATTACACACGTTCAGCTCTAAACACGGCAAATGAGGCAGCAGTAGCATTTCTAGTCTGAAATTCTTACCTTTTTCACCTCTATTTTGGTATTTAATTAACATAATTCTGACTTATCTTTAAGACTCTTCTAGATTGTGAGGGCCTCATAGCTTTCTGATTTTTTTGGCAGGCTTTCCGGTCTGAGCTGGACACCAGGAGGGCCGACTGGGCCCACAGCCTGGACCAGCTGGCCCAGTACACAGAATCGCTGGAGAAGGAGCTCATCAAAATGGCCAGTAACATGAGGAGGTCCCGCACTGAGATACTTCACCTCTCCGTCAGGTGAGGGGGAGATGTTGGAGTGGGTTGGCGTGTGTTGGTGCCTTTTATGCAGCTGAAGTGAAGGAGGTGCATGCTTTTTGCAGTTTTTGAGGCAGTGCAGATGCATATCTGTCATTGGGTGGATGAAAAGTAGGAGGAGTCAGTAGTTCAGTCCACACCAATTTATTTTTGTATAGCCCTAAATCCCAACAGTAGTCTCAAAGAGTTTTAGAATTGCATCTGATGTTGGTGGGTCAACAACTTTGTAAACTCTTAGGAGCCAGTGGTTCATAGGGAGGGGGGATGACCAGTGTCCGCAAATGTGACTACATTCGCCTGTCGCAGATCATGGAGTTGAGGTTAAGATTTGATGCATTTGATACAGAAAAACAAATGTTGATCTTGTAATTAATGCTCAATGGAGGGTCTACAATTCCTGATGGATGGAACAAAAGCATTTCTATGTAAGTAACTTTTATAACACAAAACTGACTGTCATGGAAAGCCATGGCGCTACACAAACGTCACAAGCATTCAACTAATACAATTTTACATTGCCCCACTTTTTTAAATGCATATTTTAGCATAGCTGATGCATTACTTTAAATTTGTTCTTGGAAGTTAAATTGAACATAGTTCCCTAATATAAAAATGTTTTTAAGACACAACATATTGTGAAGGGCTATGTTTATGATTAGTTTATGGGAAAGCCTTTGAGAGGCCTTGTCTCATTATTGAGTGGGTAAGTTTTTCAATGTTCTGTTTCTTTCAGTGCTGCTTCTGGTTTCAGCCTGACATTATCTAAAAGTTCAGGGTTACTTATACAATATTCATTCTTTTGGCACCAACACAATGTATTTAGGAAATAAACAAAGTTACCAGCTTTGCTATGTTTTTTTTATCATGAGGTAATCATGAGGACTCCTGAGGTTTCTTATAAATCTGAAAACGGTCATAGAATGTATACAGTACAGTATGTCTCTCTGTGCTGTGAGACACAAGTTTTACCAAAGTTGGTCACTTTTCATTCAGTGTGCCTCAAGTCGTTTTCTAACCTCCTAACCTTTGGAGATCCCGCCTCACAGTGTGGGCTTTTGGCCAACCCTGGATTAAGTTTGAGGGTTTTCCCTGGTTTGGTGCTGCCCTTGCCTCGTTGGCATTGTATATAAATCACTAGTGGTCTCACTCGACTGTTTCAAAAGAATGAGTTAAACTAAGGCGAGTTCCCAATAAACCTTAGAGTCAAAAAGAAAAAGCTAACTAAATTTCAGAGCTGGGGTTGACGGTGCAGTTTTTGTTTGGAATGGTTTGGATTTAAAGACTATTTTTATAGTTTTGAATAGCCAGTGAAAAAAGTTGCTGTTGGTCATTCTGGGAGCCAGAATGGGACACTGCATGGGCCTGCGGATTGGGTACAGAATGTTCAGTGTACTTTTCCTTCTGTGTCCTTTCACCTTTTTTAAATGGTTAAAAATACCTTGCATCCCTTTTAGGCAACGTGGCTGGAGTGAGTTATTGAATATTTCTGTTGTCTTTTGTGCAGAGTTCAGGAGCAGGAGAATCAGAAGAGGCAGCTGAGTGAGGAGTTGGAGCAGCTGCGGACGCCCCAGGACGAGGCTGCACATCAGACCCCCGAGGAGGAGGTAAGTCAACTCGGAGCATTGTGAGAATCATCATTTGGATACTATCTGCACATTTGACAGGTTTCAGAGTTCAGACACTTTTATTTAAGTGTTTGTTTATGTGGTGTGGGTGCAGTGAACAAATCAGCCAAATGTAAATTTAATCGGTGAGAACACAACAGAACTCTACTTGCCACACAAAAGGTGGACAAGCATGTACGTCATACCAATAATGTATGTTTATTATTATGGCTGGAGAATAGGGCAAGATGCACAAACCTTTAGAATCACATTTCAAATTGACAAACATGAATGCCACTAAAATCAGCAAAAATATATGTGTTGGACTCGAAGAATGACATAATGAACTCTTAACGACTTCTTAAACTAGTAACTACTTTTTGTTTTCACTTTTTCTATATCAAATATTAGAAGCGTCTCAAGGGAAAGGCAAATTACCGTCAGGGCAATATAACGAGAACAAAAATAAGCTGTCTTTGCTTTGCTTGCCTTTACATTACTGCAGCCTTTACCACTGAAATGTTTTGCGGTTTTAAAAATGTGAAATTGTTGCACGGTGAGGGGCATGAGGGCAAGAGGCAGATGGAGCAGTGAGTTGGCGGCTCGAGTGGTTACTTCACACACACAGACTTGCGCACACACAGCACCTCCTGCCCACGCAGTCCTGCAGTTCACCGGTAGTTCATGCACTTTTATTCTTTTTGGCGTCATTACACCGACTACGTTGTCATTGCCAATTTCACTGTCAAAAGAATGGTCCATTTTTAATCCACACAATATCTAAACGGTGTGTGGGTGTATAGTTCTTTTTAGGTGTGAGTTATTCATAATGAAGAAGCCTGTGCTACAGTTTATTTATCCTATTTTATGAAACTTCTTGCTAATGCAAAACATGTCCCGTGTAGGTGAAGATTGGCACAGAACAGCCAAGAATATCAATGGTTTTTTAAAGTAATGCTCTTGAAAGAATGCAAAATCCAGTTCAAGTCTATTCAAATCCTCAATTCCACTCATTAACAGTTGTTATAAAGATTATTTCTCTGAACATTGCTTTTGGTCTTCATTGAACATAAATGTGTGTTGGGTTTTGCATTTATTTTTTTCCACAGCCCGAACAGGACTTCGACTGGGATGAGGAGTTTTCTATTCAAGATTGCATGAAGAATGAAGGGATGACCAACAACTACTGCAGCGTGGAACTAGGCTCTACAGATGCCCCCAGTGCAAACACAAGAGAACAGAGAACTGAGGAAGGAGACAAGAAAGGAGACCAGGGAGTAGACCGGGAAGGAGCCCAGGAAGGAGCCAAGTGTACGGCCATGCATGCATCTGGAGAGACAGAGAAGTCCACCCTGTACATCAATGTGTATATGGAAACTCAGAGCAGACATGAGACTGTGGAGACCAATCATGGTAAGAAACTCAATTTTATCTAAAACGGTACAAAAACCAGATCTTTTCTGCACTGATCGTTCTCAGGGCTCACGCCACCAAATATGGGAAAAAGTGATGCAAAACACAGATGATGCTTGAAAGGCACTTGTCCTGTCTTAGCCTTAGATCTTTTCATAGATCGATGGACTTTAAAACATCACTTGAGTATGGCTTCTTGGTGAAAATTATCTACGAGAACAGATGCCATGATCGTGTGTTAACGCTGAAGTAGGGCACATAGAAACGCACTCGAAATGTTACCTGGTGGCACAGCGGGTGAGTGGTTAGAACTAGCGTTTCTCAGCAAGAAGGTCCTGACTTTTATTCCACCTTCATACAGAGCCTTTCTGAGTAGAGTTTGCATGTTCTCCAGTATCCCCTATCACTAAAATAATTTCCTCCCCTCTTTCCACTATTATAAGAGATACCTTTTATACTTGATGGAAAAGTTTGTAATGCATCTCTAAAATTATGGTTTAAGGTTAACCATTCTGAATCCAGTAAAGGTTAATTATGTAATATATCAATACTATTATATTCCAAAAGTAATGACATTAAGGATCAATGGATTTGTTTTTATACATGCAATTGTAACACTTTAAAATAGAAAAATGCCCCTATCTGTCGCTGTATGTGCTGAGACAATAATGGTGCACCTGGCTTTCTCTTGGTCCAGTTAGGAGTAGATTACAGGTGTTTTTTTGTCTTTGAGTGTTGACTGCGAGATGGATTATCCCTTTAATCCAAGTCACAATCAGATGAAGACTGCTGCTCGGAGTGCACATAGAGGGCAATCGCCTTAAACTTTTTAATTGAGAAAAAGTGCTGTGTACTCTGGTGAAGGCCAGTAAATCATTACAAGAAACATAAAGAGGAATATTTACTATCGGCGAGTTGGAATTGATGTTGAATCATGTAACAAACGTTGATTCTCCTTTTGCACAGTATTGTATCTTACACAAAATAAAGACCATTTCTAAAAATACAAAAGTGAGCACACATGGCTTTTTAGATCCAGAGCCTATTATGGATATGGAGGTGGCATGGTGGTTTCTGAGGGTTATGTGAAATCCACTACTTTACAAGGTCCTTCTAAGGCCAGCTGTCTGTCCACTTGGACTCTGAGGCTCTGAAGCTCTAATCCCTCCTGCTCTGAGGAGCTCAGGCAAAAACGACATGAATCACATCCACAAGCAGAGACGCACTCATTAACACCACCTCAGCCATGCATGCAGCTCCTGTTCCCAATGAAAACAATTCATTTTGACCATTTATGGGAAGGGACATGGCTTTTGGGAAACCAAAACTTTTGTACTGGCTTGAGTTGCCTGTTACAGAATATAATTATATATATATATATATATTACACTTAACTAGTGTATATGGCTGTAATGTTGTGCGTGTTAAACAATAAAATTGATTATGCATTATGAAATATTGAACACAAACTTTTCAGTTTCTAATATTAAGCAGGATTTTCCAACACAAGTTCTGCATGCTTGGGTATTGCTGTTGTATATTATTGCATACTTGCAAAGATTCAACATGTTTAACTAATTATTTGTGATTGATTTTGTTTTTTAGAATCTGAAACCAGCACTGACCCTCCAATTATTGTGAACCATAAATCTGTGCAGGTAAACCAGAGTCACTGTTGTGTTAGTATAAATAAACTAGTTTACTTGTAGGAGGAAATGCTGCAGTAGCTAAATAGACTTCTTTACCATACCATATTCCTCTTAGTCAATCCACCTAACCTATACCAAACACATACAAACAATCCGTTTGTGGATTATTATTCTGGACAGTGTCAACACTGGACGAGCCTCTGCTGTGTCCCTGATGTCAAATCCACTATGCTAATTCTAGAGTGCATAGCCTGATGTGTCAATTTTACTTTTTGGACTTTATTTTTAACCATGAAAACAAAAACAACTGCAGACTGCAGCATTCTGTCTCCTTTTGTATTTGGAAACATGTTGTATTTTGCACACTTGTGAGACATGATTTCATGCTTTGGGTTGAGTGAGGGTGGTCCCCTTTGTTTCACTTTTATGTCAGAAAAAGCTGATCTAAAGATATGACAGAGGTCACCAATGCATTCACGTGAAGACTAGTTTTCATGTATTAAGATTTTGAGAGTGAACTATTTTACATATTGTATGATGTGAACCCATGATTCTCACATAATCAGTGCATCTTAATCACATGGATGTCTGATCTTTTCACCTTCTTTCTTGAATGCTGTGTGTTTAGGAAGAGGTTGCGTTGCCACAGATCGCCCACTCACAGGCTGTTGGTGCTGGGTGCTCCGAGGCGCTCCCTTGTACAACCCACTTGCACAGATACAGTAAGACTTTGCTTTCTGGGGCTCTTCTGAGATCTTGCTTTTCTGTTTCTGTCCTCGACTTACTCCAGCTAACAATGAGTCATTTACTGAGTCACCGTTTAGTTAGATTTTTAAAAATATAAATTAGAAAATACAACACATTGCTCTAGCTCCGATATAGACTGAAAAGCTAAACTGTTGAAAACTAGATATTCATTTTAACAAGTAGTTTTTTAGTTTTTTAGTTTTTTTGTGTTATCAAAATAGCACACAGAGAAAGTGTATTAAGATATAGACTGTTCAATAATTGCACATGCTGTTATTGGGGCCCTTAAAATGTTTATTTTATGGATGAGCATTTACATACAATCCAGAACTGATCCCTACATAGCTCTTACATGTTTTTCTTGTATTTATTTCTGTTCATAATTTTTATAGTTTTCTCTAAGGGCTCCACCTTTTATGTGTTTCACATTGAATTTCTGAAAAAAAAGATGCCTAAAGGAATAATTAGGCAGACTATTATAAGCAAATGGACAACCACTGTTTTAAGTTGGTGATTACTTAATGTTGAAACTGTTCAAGGATAGCATGTTGGGCTCTTTACACCAGTTTTATTTTTGGTGTGCGTTGATTGTCTTTTATTTTTTTTATTTTTTTATATATTCATTATTGCGTTATACATTTTCCTAATCAGGTGCTGAAGAGGGTGAAGACACGCAGATGCTCTGTGATTTACCTCAAAACGGCTCAAGTGAAACGCTACCATCCTCCGGTCCCACAGGCGGAGGGAAAGAGACTCCAACAGATAACTCTGTGGACCATAAGCTCAGGTACAGCTTATGTTCATCATATACTTTTAGCCACAAGAGGGCAACAAAGTCCGATCTTTTCTCATTCTTATTTAAATAGCAACTGTTGTCAAATGTAATTGTGCAGCTGTTGGGGGCCAATACCTGTTTAACTGCAAATACATTTTCACTGAATTCTTACTTTGGGCTATTGCTCCTCCAGCTAACCTGGAATTTGGCCTAGTGGAGCCTCTATCTTGTTTCCAATTAGATGGATCCATATAAGTGTTTTTCCTCGGATGTTCCAGTTACATTGCCCAAGACTCCAGTCTCCACCAGGAAAATTGCAGAGTGCTAATCTAATGTAGCTTGGCCTTAGCCTTCTGTAAACTCCAGTCAATTATTATTTCCCTACATGTGCGAAATTAAATTGGTACAATGGTGGGTTAAGACCAGGCCACTGCTAATGATAAATGTGTGAGAAATGTTGGCTTGATTTGTAGCTACTTTAACAAGCATAAAGTAAATACTTGGACACGATTGTAACCAACAACCTTGAATTGTTTCAATCCTAAAAAGTGGTGTACCATGCTATAATACATATATACATGCTGTAACTGCTGTGTACAGCATGTAGTGTTTATATTTATGATATACACTGCATTGTAGATCCTCATAGTACAAAGTAATGTATTTCCTTGTGAACATTTGCAAGTCAAATGGGTGCTTTCCTTGTTGTGGGAGGAGTGTCTGGGTTGATGCAAACTATGACTGCGGATAAACTAATTAGCCTACCAGTCAAGTGTTTTGGCTTGTACCTCATCCTACATTCTAACAAACTTACAAGAATATAATTACAAGTTGCATTGTTTAATTGTTGGCCTGCATTCAGCTCTACTTCAGCCTCAGAGGGGGACCTGGGAGGAGAAGGCTTGAAGCAGAGCAGCGAGCAGGCGGTCGATGACATGAGTCGGAAGGTCAGTGATAAACGGTTTTGTTCACATGTAGCTCAGCTTCCCCTGTTTCCGTAGCTGCTCTTCCTCTTTTCACTCACTTTGTCACAGTCTCACTCCTGTGCCCTGATCAAAATTAGTCTGCACTCCTAGTCTTCCACTCCTGGTGGATTTTGCTGCCCCATCATACCTGGCATGTTTGTAGGTTTTTTTACCTTACATGACCAGATCACATCACCAAAACATAAAGACTAAAAACAATATAATTTTTTATTGACAATGTTGGCATGGGTAGGGATCAGAGCACACAAGGGGATACAACTTTGGCTTTCTTTTTGTTTTAAAAAGTTTAGAACAAATAACCTTAACATGGCCAAAGAGCTGCCTGTCCCATGTGGATTTACATGTGCTCGTGCATCATTTACATGATCTGTAAAAGGAGACTTTCCTTCTAAAGGCACACAGAATGTTTGTATTTAACATGAATTATTATTCATGTAAAGTATATTGAGGTTTTTTAAATTACCTTGTCCATTGTGTTGGTCCACCTCTTGACGGAGCTATGGAAAACATTAAATAGTTTTCTCTGAATGGATTTTTTTTTTTTTTTGGGTTATTTTTCTTTGTCTTCCTGGACCTGTGTGTTTTTGTTTTTTGAAACTAAAAATAATAATTATTACCACATTTATTTAACTCACTAAAAACAGTCAACAGCACAAGTATACAGGTAACATTTGGAAAGAATTTTGTTCAAAAGTCCATTTACTTCTTGTTTCAACTTACGTTTTGTGTAATGAGTCCATCATATTTAGAAATATCAAGTCCTTATTTGTTTTAATGTTGATAATTTGCTCACAGCTTGTAAAAACCCTAAATATAATGTATCAATACAACATATTTTTTAAATGGTCTTGAAGTCATAATCATCAAAATAATAACAAACAAATGCTTGGTACATGTCACTTTGCATTTAATGAGTCTATATCGTGTATTAGTTTCACATTTTAAGTTTAATTACAGAATAAACATTTACAAAATATTGCATTTTTCAGCTGCATATTTCTGACTGTATCAGCCAGAAATATTTAAGAATCAGGGTTAGGGTTTGAAGTCTATATAAGTCCAACTAATAAAAATAAAATGCGCTTGTCAGTGCTGTAGTAGGCGTTGCAGGTTTGTTGGCTACTTCTGCCTCTGCCCTTTCAAATGCATAATAATTTGAACGTGAATTCTACATGTTATGTTGTAAAACGGCACAATCAGGACTACTTCAATCAAGTTTCAAAGCAAGTCAATAACAAAAAGAAAACAAAGTCACTTGATGCTAATTTCTGAGTATGTTGTGTGTCCAACCCGCTAGGATAGGCTTGCGTTACACAACATCCCCTTGCGCTGGTCCTGAGTGCTCACCTCTTCTCACTGTGCTTGTGGAGTTGCTGCCGCCTCCACAGCTTCACTCTGTGTTAATGTGTCCATGAACAACACCACTAAAACCTCCTCCAGGCTCTAAAATACATTTTACTAGCTTTCGGTACAGCGTTTTTCAACAAACCGGGCGAGCCATGGGACAGGTAAAAACCCTCAATTTGAAATATTGATGTTATCTAATTCCCTTTTTCCTCATCTACAGACTCTGGGCCAGGACAAGGCCGACCGGACAGCAGAAGACAGGTGAGTGGTGCACTTAATGATACATGTTCTACTGGTTTGTTGAATCATATGTAACTGCTGATTTCAAGAAAGTGGAATATTTTGCTTTTTTATAATTCATGTTCATGCTATTTAGTCTATCTAAAGCATTTCCTTGTTTTAGTTCCAGTCTGCTCCCTGTCCTGATGGAGGAGGAGGAGACTGAGGCTTCCCTGGGAGTAGCCTCTGTACCAGGTTGGACAAGTCATATGATCATTATAATAGATCCATAACGTAATGATATGCATATCTATTCACTTCATACTGACAAAAGCTCTAGCACAGTCTCATGATGAGACACTTCAACTGTATGCGTTCTGTTATGCCATATGCATTTTACTTAATGTGTGTGTGTGTGTGTGTGTGTGTGTGTGTGTGTGTGTGTGTGTGTGTGTGTGTGTGTGTGTGTGTGTGTGTGTGTGTGATCCAGCCAGCGAACATCACAGTAACAGCTCTCATCAGTCTGGAGGAAGCTCAAGTGCGATGGCCACGCCTGGAAAGTTGGAGGGTGCATCTCCGAAAAAAGATTCACAGCAACTTCAAGGCAAGAGGGAATTGGTAAGACAATAGCTCATCTTTGTCCAGTTATTAATGTGTGGAGAGTCCACTTGTAGTAATGTTTGTTTTAGGAAAGGCAAGTTTGTTTGTATAGCACAAGTTATAGACTGGACGACGCAAAAGTTCTTTAAGAGAACAAGGAAATTGTAAACCAAGAAAAAAAAAAAATATCACAGTACAACTCTGAGCCACAGGAAGCCAGAGCTGAGACCTGAACACAGGACTTTATAGATGGTACTTCCTGGTGTTAGTCAGGGCTCAAGCTGTGGCGCGTGCCAGTTCTACAGGAGACAAATCCATGGAGAAAAATAAGAATTTATAATTCGTATTATTTGTGTTGTTGAATTGATGGCATTTTTAATGCATTGAACCTTTTAATGTACATTAATTAGCAAACTCATTGCACTTCAATGTGGATGTTTGAACCTTCCTGCTCTACTGCCATTAGATATGAGAAATAAAATAAAAAAAATTCAATTAAGATTCATAGTTTCACTTTTCTGTGAGTCTGGTCATCCCTCTCATATGCATGTGCAGAAGATACTAAGTGCAATATCATCCACTAGATATGTGGTTTTTCCAGTCAGACTACATCATGGACTTGTTGATAAAGAGCAGAGGAGGAGGGAGGATGTCATTTTAGGATTCTGCCGTCGTTCTTATGTCAAACCTCTGAGCTGCTCTGACTCACTTCACCTTCAGTGAGAAGGAGGAGGAGAGACTTGCAGAACATGGAAGCTGCAAGCTGTGAAAATGTGCATAATTTAGATGTTGGAAATGATAAAGAAATGTCCCTGATTTTTGTGCAAATGTTGCAGGATTTATCACATGGGATCGAGACTCTGGATCAGTTTGGAGCTAAAGGTGAACGGGGTGAGAACACCAGCGACAATGAGGGTATGTCCCCTTCATGCACTTCACAAACACACGACTAGTTACACATGTTTACGTCTGAATATTTGGAGGGTTAAATATTGAGCTAATATATGTATATATTTTTTACATTTTCAAGCTTTTTAAAAAGTAAAAAATTGTCACAATTCAGTTCAAGAACTGAATTTGACTGAATTGTAAAAGTGCATCAACTTAACAAAACTAAGAGTGTAGATTCATGTTTGTTACGTTTAGCAAATTTGCTCAAACATTGAAACACAATTGAATTTTTTGTAATGTCATTTTTCTTAGCAGAAGAATACCATCGGACTGATGTAAATGACTCCTACACCGAGGACAAAAATGAGTAGGCCTCAAATTTACATCATTTAAAGAGTTTTTAAGAGTCCCTTTTAACTATGATCTTATTTGTCCTCCAGTATGACTCCAACGGACAAGGAAGTTGAGGTATGTATGCAAGCGACCTATTAGTTTCCTTGTCTACAATAATGGCCTACAATGTTTTGCATTTAGTGCCAACCTTATATTAGAAACCTTTTAAAACCTTGTGACTGTCGAGAGTGATTTATGCAACCTGATTTTGCCTTTGACAGACTATATTTCATCCACATTTAGCGCTGTATTGTTCACCTGCCAACAACTGCTTTTATCTATAGACTGAGTGAAAAATTGGCAGCAGTCTATTTATCCAATGGCAATATGCAAATTAACTTTTTCCTTTAAAAAAAAGGGAGACCTGAATCTGAGGGTCAGCGTTTAGAGTTGTGATTTTAAACAAAATGTCATTGTTTGTTCGCATATCAGCGTTCCTCTGCTGTGTCCAGGCAGAATTCCAACGTCTGGCGTTGGGCTTCAAGTGCGACATGTTCACCCTGGAGAAGAGGCTGCGTCTGGAAGAGCGCTCTCGTGACCTGGCCGAAGAAAACGTGCGGCGAGAAGTGTCCAGCTGCCAGGGCCTACTGCAGGTGAGGGGAGGAGACTGGACGATTACATGGATTTATTTGGATTAGTGATATAGTGAATGGGAAGCCCTTAGGACTGAATCAATTGATGGTTTAAAAAATTATTTACATGATTATTATTATTATTATTATTAATAGCCAAAAAAGTACACATTAATGTGGCATTTTTCATAATTGCTTAAAATCATGTAAACTACCACACCAAGTACACAGAACTATTGCTTCTGTTTCCCACAGAAGTTCATTACAATGTGTAAAGTGGTCAAATTTTAGGAAATTACAACCATATTGATCTTTTTGCAGGCCTTGATACCGCTGTGTGAAGATGATAATCAGTCTATGGAGATTATCCTCAGACTTCAGAAAAACTTGGAGATCCTCATTCAGTCCATGACGAGAGTGTCCAGCCGCTCGGAGATGCTCGGAGCCATTCATCAGGTCAGTTCAATCCTTCGCTAACATTTAGTTATTGAAGTTAAGTAGTTGGAGGACAGAAATCAAACTCTGCTGTTGTCCGTGCCCAGGAGAACCGTATTGGTAAGGCTGTTGAGGTGATGATTCAACATGTGGACAACCTGCGCCGCATGTACACAAAGGAGCACGCGGAGCTGCTGGAGCTCAGGGAGACTCTGATGCAGAACGAGAGGTCCTTCGGATCACAAACCAAGAAAGGTGCTCACTATTATGTCTGTTTTTGTTTTTTTATCATCAACAGTTGGCAATAATTGATTATTTCTTACAGATGATTTCCAAGGAAAGAAGGTGAGGGAGGGTCTATCTGGAAATATATATATATATGAATGAGTATGTATAATTACTTTTGGCCATTTACAGATACAAGGTCGACGAGTCAGCCTTCCACCAACCAACCCGATAAACATGGTACGGTCATGCTTTCTCCTATTCATGTCTAATCAGAGGACCAGACACAACATTGTTGCAACCAAAGATTAATGAATACTTTATTGAAGCTGGAGAACTGTATTAATATACATTTAGTGTTATTATTTATACATTATTATTATTGTAAATTATTATTGTTAGATTAAATTATCTACGAATAATTTTGTGAGAAAATCAAACCACAAGCCGTCTTAATCCTAATGCTCTAGTCTGTTTTGTTTTTCTTCACTGACAAAGCTGAAGATGTGGCCGAGTTAAATGTGAAAACTAGTGATAGATCCAAACATTTCTGAGAAATGAACTGTATGTGCATGAATTGTATTATAGTTTTAATCCATCTTGAATCATAATTGAGTAAACGATTTATTTCTCAAACACCATTAGCAAACTTCAGGGACGAATCCTTTAAGGGTTTATTACTCAAAGTGTATCTAGTTTGTTGCTTTATCTGCTTTATTCATACCATAAGTTATTCTTTTTCATCATGTCTATGCCGTGTTTAGGCATAAAACGAGATGGTAATAGACGTTTATCGCTTCGTTTCAGAGAAAGCCTTCGGATGTTTCAGAGGTGGACAATGAGAGACTGACTCGGCGGTCTCCCTGGTAGGTGCCCATTATAGCCTTGCCGTTCCTAGCCAAAGAACCATTCATGTTGTGTTGGTAAATGGTCCACAAATGATGTTGGTCTGAGATTGGTTGCTTTGTTTTTGGAGTTGTTGATGCTGGTGGTTTGCAGGAGTGTGGCAGGGAGGAACATGACTCGCCCACCACTAAAGCGCTTTGTTAGCTCTGCACCTTGGCTTGACTCTGAGGACCCCTGTGACCCGATGAAGGGGTAAGACTTTTGGGTGAAGCCAATGGGGAGGTTCCCATGTGGCATTTGCAGAGATGATATTCCTGAGATGAAATTATATACGGTAATTGTAAGGCTTTGTTATTCATTTAAAAGCTGTAGCCAGGAAAATTGTGGGTAAATTAAGACCTTTATTGTTAAGAGGTTTGGTGAATTGCACTCATAACAAAATCCAAACCATCTTTCATTATTTCCTTATCAAAAACAGACCTGGTAGTATTTGGGGATTTTTAACTCTATCCACGCCACTATCAGGATCTTGATGTAGCGTGTTATTAAGCTGTAAGGCTCTGATGTACATTTTCAGGTGAAATTACGTTTAATTATAATCGCATGGCTGTGTTTGCCTCCCTCTGGTGGTAGCGTCGGGAGTTGCCATATATGTTCTAGTACTTGTCATTATATTATTTCACATTCTAAAACATGAAAAGTAAATATTAATTTTAATTTCCAAAACTAAGTATTTCATCTAAAATAGTTACTTTATTCTTAAATAACTTGCCATGCATATGAGTAATTTGTAATAATAATAACAGCCAAAGACAAATGCTTAAAATTATATTTATTATCTTATCTTATATACAAATGCTCTCTCTATATAGGTATAGATATAGATTGGTTAACATGGAAAAATATTTTCCCAGGGATTATTCCGAAAGTCCCACCTTCCTCTACAACAGGTAAACGAGTGTGTCTGAATGCTTGTGGGGGGATTGACTGCTCACGCATGGACTGCGGCCGTCTGCATGCCGTTTCTGACCCTGTGTTTGTGGATGCGTGCCGTGCACAGGAGCGGCTACATCGCAGACAGCCAGTTAGACGACGAGCCCAAAGAGGAGGCAAAGGCTGAGAGGCGGAGGTCCAGTCTCACTGAACTGGGAAACAAACTCGCCTCTTTCCTACTGCCCAACAAGACGTCAGTTGTAACTCATTACTCTAACCAGCACCAGTCTGATCACTGCTGCACAGCTCTCACACTAACGCAGCGCTGCCATGGGAAATTCACCATTTGTGAAGGGTTTCAGAGTGAATGGAATTACTTTGCACATTTTAAAAGCTATAGCATTTTTTCTTTTGAGATTCATGGATAAATTTGAGGCATTTGATGCCAACCAATCCTTTTTTGCAATTTATCAATGCTCTTTTGTATGTGACTGTAGTTCATCTTTGAAACCTCACAAATGACGAAGCTCTGATTACATGGGTCTTTGTCACTTCCTCTTGGCTCTAAGTTTACTACACCATTGTGAAAGTGGTGTTTCTGCTCATGCAAAATCAATATTTTGTCTTCCGTGCATGCAGTCAACATGATTGTTCCACAACTAAGCTGTTCATTGTCTTTTGATTTACTAATGTTGTCTTTGTGCTCATGCTTGCACCCTTTCTTTAAAAAAATAATAATGAATGAATATGGTTTTTTCTTTCCCTCCGTCCACATGGCTAAGGACTCAGGATGAGCTCTTTGTCATGCTGTGAGTGCCGAAGGTTTAATTGTCTCTGATGAATACAGATTTTTCCCTGAATGACACAAATACTTGATCAGTAGTCTCAAACTCTATTTACTTTGGGGGCCCACGATAGGAAAATTTCCACTGAACGTCGATTATTATTTCTCTATGCCTAATCATTTTTGCCAATGCATGCTGCAACTCTGAAGCGTTTCTTTCTTGCACACAGTCAGATTTGGGAGGAGTCATTTTTTATTGAATATACATTTGTGGATTTTTGTAAATTTGTATTATTACTTGAATACATACTAATTTATTATGAAATGTAATTCTCACTAATGCTAGCTTTTGGATGAAGCCCAATTCCCCACTAACTTTATGTTGATATTAAAGGGATGATTTGTAAGAGATTAATGTTGACCTTTCCTGTATATATGTACAGTATATTTCTGTAAATATACTGTATATTTTGACTCTAAAGCTGATAATGGATAGATAGATACTTAAATGATCCCCGTAGAAGAAATACAGGTGACCAGTAGTAGCAAAAATAAGAGAATTTCAACAACAACAAAAAAGAAAGCAGAATTGGCAGCTCATAAGAATTTGATATCCAGTTGGTTTGGTCATTGCCATCCCAGCTTCTGGTCTGAGGGACCTCAATTGTCTAACTATTCTATTCAAGCTAAAACTACTGATGGTTATGTGGAGGGGGAGGGATTGTTATGAATTCCTTAAAGTGGTTCTCACCCCCGCTCCTCGGAGCTTACGTTACTCACATTTCCTGTTCAAATCTTCCTCTAAATGGGCGTAGCCTGGAGGACTAAAGGGGGCGTGAACGAGACTGGGCCGTTTACATTGCTCTGGGCGGGGGGCTGCTGACGTCAGGTCCAACTTGCAGACGTCAGGTCCAACTTCTGTGCCAGTGTTGGCGCCAGATTCAAAATTCAAATGTAGTAATACAGGTCGCCAGCAGATGGCGCCTCACAGACGGTTTTAGGCAGAAAGTCTAACTTTCAACTAATTTGCACCAAAGTGACAAGATTATGACCAGGATATGTAGACAACACTATTGGACACTCATTTATACCGTTTATCAGCAAAAAAAAGTGGATTTGAGGGTGAGTTGTCCTTTAAGGATACAAACTGCAGAAGACAAATTGGAAAAGATTCCTGAGATTCCTGATTCAGTCAGACTTATCATGAGTGAGGACATTTTTGCTGCATCCGCACACTTTGTTTGTTGGCCTTGACTTTCCACAAAATCGCCAGAATATATACCAATAAATATCTTTTTTTTAATTTTTATGTCCAGTCCGAGTCCTTCCGCCAGTCCGATCTCCTCAGAGCCTGGAGTGACGCAGTCTTTGTCCAGAGGGCTGAGCTCCTCCAGAGCCTCTGCAGCCGCTGTGGCCCGGGGCAGCCGCACTGTGTGGCTCTGGTTGGCAATGTTTGTTCTGCTGGCAGGTAAGGGCTTCACTCACACTTGTCACTTTACATCATTGACATTTTAATCAATTGGAACTTGTTTGTGCAGGACTTCTAGCTCTCTTGGCCAGTATGGTGATGCAGCCCGCTGTAGACGCAGCTCCTGTTGCAACAGGAGATTCCTGGATGACCATCCAGCAGCTGCTCTGGCCCTACACCGGACTGCGGCACAATGGCCAGCCGCCCGTGTGAGCCCATCCCTGCCAACAACTCTCCTTATATTGACTTCAAACTTTAATGGTGCCTAAAAGGACAGTCCGCAGGCGATGCTCAACGCACTGGAGGATTGAATGCATTGCTTCACGTTAGCTAATTTATTAGTCAAGTGTGCATTTATTTTAGATAAAAGATGTGTGGGGTGAAAACAATCATGTTTTTGTGTCTCAATGCACGTAAATAAATGCCAGGACCAATCAGGATGCGACTGAATGTACAAAGTGGAGATCTGTTCTCGTTGGGCCTCATGGACATTGGTGTGCCAACAGGATTCATGCACTTGACAATCAAGACACTTTTGTAGAGTCCTTTTATTTTGTTGCTAAATTAAAATCATTTTTATAACTTTAATTATTTTAACACTGGTAATAAGACAATGTTTCCAATGTTTTTAAGAGTACATGCACGCTAAGGGGTATGTGTACATTATTTTGTTGTTAAATTATTATGTTCGGGTTCAACACCAAAGTTGTGTGTCACTGTTTTAATGTTAGTTTTTCATTTTCCAAAACTGAACTTTGCACAAATAAAGTAGCCAACCCTATTAAACAGAATGTAAGTGGTGTTTGTGGCTCATGCGTAGATAAGGGGTCTGGTGGCACACAGAAGGCTCTGAACAGTGTCCACAAAGAGGTAGTGTGTGGCTCTGGTCTGGGTGATGCCCTCAGCGCTCATGTGGTCCTGAAGCATGTGGATGAAGGTGGAGTGGAACTCTGTACCAGGATAGTGGTCTGAACTGAAGGTCTCACTGCTCTCAGAGATTCTCAGCTTCTGACTCCTCTGTGCCCCCAGCAGGTACAAGCACCAGTGATCTTTGGGCACTGGGCCAGAGGAAAGGTGCTCACAGACCTAGGAAACAAAGGACCAAATCTAAAGACCAAATCCAAATGAGATGAGGCGTTTGGTGTCTGTTTTGTCATGTTTATTTCAACTAGTGTATGGGTGAAGGTTCATAATCCCTTGGATGACATGATAATGAGGATACCTGCATGACAAGGTGTTCAGGACCACACTGGGCGTTCCACCTGCTCCAGCTAAAGGCACAAGTGGAGGAGAAGAGTGCCATCTGCTCATAGGCCGAATGCTCGCTCAGTGGATCCTACAGCGGTAAAACACAGCAGGAGAAAATGTGTTCACTCATTGGTATCTGCATACAAACAAATCACTTTAGGTACAAGGTGTCTGACTAAATAAGTTTCAACTTTTGAATTTAATAGACCGAAAAATATCATTTGTTTGACTCATTCAAATTTGAACACATCAGACACCATGAGCTAAGTTGATTCACACGCTCATTATAGAACAGTGCTGACGGTACTTTGGCCAAGGCCGACATGTACTGTACATACAGGCTCTTCACTAGGGCACTGACCTTGCCATATGTTGTTATATAATTCTCTGTAAACTCATTTACAAATATATTAATGCCAGTGTCCTGCATGGCTCTTTGTAGCTCTGTGCTGCTCATCCATTTCCCGACAAAATGTGACAGACATTTCTCCCCCTGTGTCTGCAACATGCACTTGTGACCCTATGGAGAAAAAGTGCTTATTTTGCATGATTCATTAGGATGTCTCAGAATAATTCAGTATGTTGTCAAACCTGAACAATAATGCTGATGTTAATGCAGGCTCCATTAATTGTAAACACGGCTGTGTCTTGTCCCTGGGGCTTCAGTTCCCAGCTTTGAAAGGGGAAGTTGGCGTACGTGTTTTGTATAAAAACCCAGGGCTGGAAAAAATCCATTTTGAAGGAGATTTTGGATTTTTCTCCAGTATAGGCTGTTATGCCGTCTATTCTCCACTGCTTTCCTGAATTGGAAATATAAATGTAAATAGAATTATGGATAGTTACAGTGACGTGGAAATTCATATCCATAAATGTCTATTAGTATTAGATAGCAATATGGCCTACGTGCAGGACTGTACAAGGACTCTACAAGGACTCCATGTTATGACTATGATGTGACTGTCTCTTTGTGACACGTATGTCTTTCGATGTGTGACGTGACAATGACTATATAAACTGTGTACTGCCTTTATTCTGTCTGAGAGAAAGAAACAGAGTAAACCAGTGGAACTTGAGAGAAACTTAAATAAACTTCCAGAGTTTGGCACACCACGATCCGTCTCTGTCTGTTAAATCCTAACAGATTTGGTGGAGAATGCGCGGCTCGGTTTGTGCCATTCTCTGGATTGTTTTGAGGGAGTTTCCTCTGTTTCTTTTTTTCGGCGTGTGGGAGCAACAGCACGTTATCTGGAAGGGGAGAAATCCCAGTGGACGCTGAAAGGGCTCGCTTTTGGATGGGCTTGCTCTTGCTCCCTCACTTTCTCTGTTTTGTGTTTAAATTGAATTTTTCGACGCGGAAAAGATGTCGGTCGACCTCTCGAACAGTCCGGACAAAGAATTAATGTAAGCAGACACCTTTTTTAATATGTAAAGTCTGCATAATTGGATACTAGCTAAATTTTGAGCTGTCCCGGAGGTCTGTCCAAATCTCTCTAAATCAAATTTTCTTTGTTGTGTCTTTGTCACGTCTTTGTCATGTCTTATGTTGTAAAAACAGGTTAGCTGTGTGGGTAACCAGTCCCTATAGGAAAAAAGAACCCCTTGACGTATCGGGGTCCCTGTCCTTTGAAGTAGTCAGGGCAGAGAAAGAGTAATTACAGGGTAGAGGCCCTTTTTTTGAGTAATTACAGGGTAGAGGCCCCTTGCTAGCCAGAGAAAAGTGTTGGATCCAAAAGTGAAACCATGGTGTAAAATTAAAAGTAATTAAAGCCGCAAGCGGCGTCGAACGGCCCTCGCCGCACCGCGCAACTCGCCGCACCGCGCAACTCCCCGCACCGCGCGACTCCCCGCACCGCGCGCACCAACCCGTTCCACGCCGCCCCGCACCAAGCCACCCCGCACCACGCCGCCCTGCACCATGCTGTCGCGCCTCACGCCGCCCCGCACCAAGCCGCAATGCGCCGCTCCACAACGCCCCGCACTACGCCGTACCACACCATACCACGCAGCACCGCTCAAAGGAGGTGGCGCCGTTGTGTGATGATTTGTTCCCGTAGCCATAGAAGATTGTTAGTCAAATTGTAATGAATATAATAAGTAGAGCTGGTTTGGCTCCCCATGTAAACTTTGACTCAGTCTTTAGGGGGCGCTAATGGGCCAATTTAAAATATTTCACTTTCACCTGACCTAAACCCTGGAGTTGAACAATGGATTCAAGTTTAATGCAAATCAGTCTTTGTTTGTGCAAACGGGGAAAAAATGTATGTTGTCAAAAACGGCCAAAAAAACCCTCACATTTTGCCGCTCCGCTGCTCAAACAACGTTTCACTGATCAAAAATCCCTGAAGTCATTTTGAAGGTAAATGTGTTGAGATGATTTGTAACAATTTTGAGGCCAATCAGTGAAACGGCCGAGGAGGAGTCGCTTTCCAACCGACGTGTATGAGAATGATTGGTTTTCATTTTTCCATTTTGCAGTGAAATTTATGGGCTTACTGTTTGTCGGAGGGATTAGCCATAATTACATTTTTTCCATGTCTTGACTTGAGGAACATGTGTACCAAATTAAATGGTTCTACGAAAATTTTGACCTCGAACCCCTCCCATAGGCATTTTTAAATTGGCTGTTGTAGGTGGCGCTATAGAGCCAATTTCAAAATTCTAACTTTCAAATGACCTAGACCCAAGAGTTGAACCATGGATTCAAGTTTTGTGCAAATCAGACTTTGTTTGTGCAAACGGAAGCAATTTTTCTATTGTCAAAAACTGAAAAAAAATACGCCAGTTTTTGGCGCTCTGCTGCTCAAACAGCGTTTCACTGATCAAAATTCCCTGAAATCATTTTGATGGTACATGTGTTGAGATGATGTGGAGCGATTTTGAGGCGAATCGGTGAAACGGCCGAGGCTGGTTTGATGTTTGTGTGAGGTGTACATTTGCAATGAATGGGGAGCGTTTGTCGTCGCCACGGCAACAGGGTAAAAAATAAGTCTTGGACCCTATTGACTTTTTGAATCAAGAGGGAAAAACAGATTTATGCACAAAATTTCAAACATTTTGAAAAAACTAATTTGAAAATGCCCCTCTAAAATTTTGAAATAGTCTGTAGGGGGCGCTAATGTGTCAATTTGAATCAATTCACTTTCAACTTACCTAGACCCTAGAGTTGAACAATGTATTAAAGTTTTGTGCAAATCAGACTTTGTTTGTGCAAACGGGAGCAAATTTAATGTTGTCAAAAACGGCCAAAAAAAGGTCACAATTTGCCGCTCTGCCGCTCAAACAATGTTTCACTGATCAAAAATCCCTGAGGTCATTTTGAAGGTACATGTGTTGAGATGATGTGGAGCGATTTTGAGGCGAATCGGTGAAACGGCCGAGGAGGAGTCGCTTTCCAACCGACATGTACGAAAACTTTTGCTGTTCATTTTTCCATTTTGCAGTGAAATTTATGGGCTTCCTGTTTGTCAGGGGTCGGGGCCATAATAATATTTTTTTCTTGTCTTGACTTGAGGAACATGTGTACCAAATCTCATATTTCTACGACAAACTTGACCTCCGAAAAGTCCCATAGGGGTATTATTTTGGCTGTTGTAGGTGGCGCTGTTCTGTCATTTTTTGAGTCCCATAAAAATAAACACCAAAATATCAAATTTTTCGCCAGGTCTGATTTTTGGGCCAAAATTAACAACTTTTCATGCATGTTCAGGGGGTCAAATTAAGGCTCAAAGTGCAGAAGAAAAAAGAAAGAAAGAAATAAATAAAAAAGGAATTTTTTTTTTAACGTCTCGAGCAAAAACAATATAGGTTTCAATGGCATGTGATACATCATTTTAAAGCGTTTGAGTTTACGCACGCAACTGTCACGTTTTGGTGAGTGACGGGCGCTGACGCGTCCGTCACGCACCGCCACCATTTGTTTTCACCATTGTGAAAGCAATAGGCCCTTACCCCGTTCGGGGCTCGGGCCTAATTATAAAAAGGGAAACGTGTTAAGGAGGCCTTTTGTCACAAAAAGTTTTGTAATTAACCAATTCCAAGCTTGATAAATGACAAAAGTAAAGAAGCAACAACATACAGAAAAAGGGAGTTTTTTTGTTTTTTAGTTTGTTTGTTTTTGGAGTGAACAGAGTTCACCGGAGAATGCAGAGTTTTATCTAAAGTTGAGCTATGAGAGCTTTCGTGAGTTATTTACATTTTTTGCCGAAGTTTTATCTACAGTTGAGCTATGAGAGGGCTGTATCCAACAGTTGTTTTTGTTTTTTAGAAAGAGATTTTGAGTTTAAACTAGTTTGCTACCTCGATAAAATAGAAGCGTAAACGTTAAAGACAAGAGTGCCTTTTGTTACAAGTGTGGAAAGTGATCATTTCTAGACTTGGATGACAAAAGTTTAAAGAACAACATCAGTTATATTCGCTTAACAAAGTAATCTTGAAAGTTATTCTTCTTTCTGTTTTTGCATTTTTGCTAAAACACTGCTTCTGTTTGTGTGCGCCGCTCTATCTGCTGCCGTTGTCAGGGAAACGGCCCCCTCCTTCGCTGCTCTGGCTCTGAATCTGAAGCAAAGCTACTGCTTTTAGGATTTAGGCTTTTCATAGTAGTTATTCCGTTAAATTTGCGAAATTTGCCATTTGAACATTGTGTTAGACACAGTTAAACGTTTTTAAACACCATTAGTGAATAAGTTTTGAATTAGTATGTTTTTGAAACCCAAAGATTAGTGCTAAAGCTGTGCAATTCTTTTTAGATCTAACATATTTCTAGATTCCATTCTTTTAGATCTGCTGCTTATTTTGTGAGTTCATTATTGTATCTCTGATATATTTCATAGCTGTTTGTGAGAATTTTTTTTTTTTATGTTTTTATTTTAGTTACAAAAGCCGTTTTTCAAACATTTAAATTAGAATCTGTGTTAAAAGTGATTATTGATTATAGACTTCGTCTAAAAAGAAAGAGAGAATTAGGCTGTAAAAGTATTATATTATTAAGTTAAACTACCCAATTCACCCAATTCACATTCAAGCGGTGACTTTTGTTTTTGTTTTGACTACACGCGTGACCTTGCTGCTGCTCAGAGACAGGAGGAGGCAGCTCCGACGCACAATTGAGTTTTATTGAACCAAATCCAGTTTAGCTGGAGCTAAATCTTTTGTTTGATTTCAAGTTTTGTTTTAAATGTTTTTACAAATTAATGTTCATTTTTATAGAGATTTTTCATAATTTCATTTCATGGCGTCTTTCAAGAAACCCAATGACGCATAGATAATTAAAAACACAGTACAAAAGTACACATATTTTAAAGTTTAAAAAGTTTTTGAGATTTGAGTCTTGTTTTTTATTAAGCGTTTCTGGTCTTCAAATGTCATCATTAGTAAGATAATAAGTAATCTTTATTTACATAGCGCTTGGGAAAGCCAAGAGCGCTTCAAAATTGTTTAGACTTCAGAGAGAAAAACAATCTCATTCACAATCTCTGTGGTTTTTAATTTGACTATAAGGTTGTTTTCCAGAACCAAGGGCACACACTGTACAGGGTCACTGGACTGCTGGAGTGGACACTGGACAGCAAAGCCCACCCAGCCACAGGTCACAGATCAAAGAGCAAAGGGAAATGCCACCTCCTTGCCCCTCCCCACGCCACTCCAGAGATGAGTGGGTGTGAGAGAGACCGGGGTAGAGAGAGGTTTCTGGAGACGTGATGGGTGGAGCGTCAGGGAGAGAC